GAGAGAGAGAGAGAGAGAGGGAGGGAGGGAGGGAGGGAGGGAGGGAGGGTAGAGGGACAACTGACAAACTTGCAGGCAGGCAGAGGAACACACGCAGACAGGAGACAAGGAGAGACGGGGACACATACTCGCGCGCGCGCGCAGATTCGAGAAAGACAGGAGACAGACAGAAAGGCAGGCCTCTTTGCAACCCCTACCCTTCCCTTGCATGGACGACGCCCCCACCCCCACCCCAACCGGCACTCGCAGGTCGGAGACAAGTTCTCCTCTCGCCACGGTCAGAAGGGTGTGTGTGGCATCATCGTGCCTCAGGAAGACATGCCCTTCGCAGACTCGGGTATCTGCCCCGACCTCATCATGAATCCTCACGGGTTCCCGTCCCGAATGACTGTGGGAAAGATGGTTGAGCTGGTCGCCGGAAAGGTGAAACCGCCGTATGTCAAAAGTTAGGTTTAGTTAGATCGCCATGTAGCGTTATTTCTTTTTTTTGTTGAAATGCGTGTATAACCTGTCTAGTGGGGAGGTGCTATTGTGTGAGTCGAGTGAGCGTCTTTCGCTCTTGGCGCGCGCCAGAGTTATGGTGAACAGAAGAGATCGTTCTTACGTATCAATACGGCTCACAACCTTGTCCTGCAGGGGGGGGGACTGCGTATCACCTCAGGGACAGCATGCGTTCAACGTCCAGTTAACTAGCACCCACCGATAGTAGGGGATACACAACCTGACGTCGCGTGCAATCTGATATCGCCTGCGGCGTGTTGGCAAACAAGTCGTCGTGGCGCCAGAAGTCTTCTTGGCTTGTTCCAGGAGGGGAAACCGCGAACGAACCAACCTCGTCTAGAAAACGAACGGTGGTCGTCCTGCAAGGTCGTTTCGGCCTGTAGTCTCACGAGGATTGAAGGCATGACATGTCGTTATGTAGCCGGACAGAGTCCATCGTTTCAGGCGCGTCAAGTGCGCGGGGCGTCAGCCTGTTTTGGACGGTTGCGGCACGGCTTTCTCTTTTTCTTCCTCCTGTCATGCGTGTGCGGCTCGCGAGACGCGAGGGTCGGACGACGGCGAATCTATTGGGGAGTGTTATCGATCGCGTTGTGCCACAGCAGTACAACACCGCAGTGTTCCCCGGTTCCTGTCCCGTGTATGAAGCTTGTTCTCCCTCCGCCGGTCCGTCCTCCAGGCTGGTGTGCTGCACGGGCATCAGGCGTATGGCACGGCGTTCGGGGAGGAGCACGGCAGTGCTGATCGCGTCCACCTCTGTTGTCAGGTGAGACGTGAGAAAAACATGCCGGGCCGTACAGGGCAACGATTTTGCCGGAATTTAGTCCACGCAGCAGAAGAGGGAGTACGGCCATGGTAGACGAGACCGATATCATCGCGTGTACGTTAAAACGCCGGTCGATTTGATCACCAGGAGGCGTGTTGTTGAGGACCAAAGCATTTTTTGTTTTCTTTTTCGCCACGAGATCGTGCGGAAATCACACACTCTCACGTCCTATTTAGTTTCTTCATTGTGTTTTTTATTTTTTTATATTGCTTGTATGGCATGCAGCGCAAGTGGAGCGCTTTGTTTTCATGTGTCATGATGCCATCTCTCACATTCATGCCATGTCGTGTTCGCGAAGACCCCCCCCCCCACACACACACACACACACTTCTCTTGGAGCCATTCGGGTTGGCTCATCATCATCATCATCATCATCATCATCATCATCATTCGCCCCACCTTTTTCTCCGTCTCCCCCTCCCTCCCTCCCTCTCTCCCTCCTTCCGCACCCCCTTCCGCCGTAGGCTCTCGTGGAGCGAGGCTACAGCTACGTCGGGAAGGACATGCTCACCTCCGGCACAGGTGGAGAGCCCTTGATGAACTACATCTTCGCCGGACCAGTCTTTTACCAGAAGCTCAAGCACATGGTCATGGACAAGGTGTGTTTCAGGGGATGCTGCTGTTATTTTGTTTGTCAATAGTGAATAATGGTGTGTTGGTGGCTCATGCGAAAGTGTCAAGGTAGTTCTTTTGTGTGTTTGATCCTGGCAGTTGGATATTTTATGGTGATCATTAAGATAATGCTTCTGTGCTTGATGGGTACATGATGCAAGGTGTGTGCTGTTTCTTAATGATTTTCTGATTATTAACAGCAGAGCGTCTCGGTGTTTGGGTGTTTTTATTTTTTGAAGTTTACCACTACGGTGCTTGGTCAGGAGTTCGACGTTAAAGGCGCGCGGTTTTCGACGAGATGGTGTCCTTTCCCTTCATGTTTTCGTTGATTTGACTCACCATGTTTTCATACTTTTCAGGTAGGTTGTTTGTTGCTTGTCGCAATCGCCTTTAGAATGGCCATTTTTGCCTTCGTTGTTGATTCACGATGTCTGGTTGTTCGATGGTTTGGTTTGATGTTTTGCAGCAGGTGCCAGGTACATATTGTTGGCTTGGTTTGTACAGTTGTATTGTTTTGGGGACCCATGCTGTTTCGATGGCCTGTTCGGTACCTTTCGTTTGACGCCCTTGGGGTCCCAACTTCTTCGCCGCAGTACACCTGTTGACCACGCTTGGCAACAAAGAGTTCTCAACATCTGTACCTCTGCCCAGGGCATTCGGCAGCTGTATGAGCGTCCGCCCCCCGCCGTACGGAGTACCTACCTTATTTTTGCCGTCCCGGATTTATTCGATCCCTAACGTCCGTTCGTCCAGATGCACGCGAGAGCGAGGGGGCCCCGTGCCGTACTGACGCGCCAGCCTACCGAGGGGAGGTCGAGGGATGGGGGGCTCCGTCTGGGAGAGATGGAGCGAGATTGTCTCATCGGCTACGGGGCCAGCGCGCTCATCATGGAGAGGCTCATGATCAGCAGCGACGCTTTCACGGCTAACGTGTGCCAGGGATGCGGCTTGCTTGGGTGAGCGATGGGGGGGCTCATGCGTTGCTTGGCTTTTGAGTCAGTTGAGCATTGACCACGTATCTCTTGTTGCGAGACGGAGAACCGCTCCTGGAGGAACCTCCAACAACCGGGCGCTGTGCATGTTTCGCCGAGTTGCGGGCGGGGGATCTGTCATGGTTGATCTTGGGACGCACAGCTATGCACGCAAGTCTTTTTGCGCCCCGCGTGTTGTCGACACGGACCGTGGATAGATGGGAGACATGCGCGCGTAGAGGTCACAGCAGCGATGTGTCGAACTTCCGTCTCTGCGATAGCACGAACGGATACGACGAGGGAGGCACGAACGAAGTCGATCGCGAATGTTGTTGCACTTGTACTCAATGCGTTCCTTCGTCAACACCACCACCACCTCCCCGCGGCAGGTACTCTGGGTGGTGTCAAAACTGCCGCAGCCCGGAGAAGATGGCCGACATCCGACTACCGTACGCATGCAAGCTCCTCTTCCAGGTAACACCACCTGCGGGCACGGTAGAATACCTGACACCATTATTGAAGCATCTAGGACTGAGGCTCCCGTTCATAGAAACATGCGGCCGAATCGGGTTGCGTCAATTAGTATCGTTGGCTGGTAACAGTCATAGGTGTTTGACCTACATTACAAATCAATCCGATGAGCCTGTGGGTATTGTAGTAGCATCACGAATGATTGCCACCGCGTCTGCTTAGGCTTCTCTCATTCCTGGCTGTACGTACACATACGGCAAACCCAGACTTCTGTAATCGTGCCCTCTCTTGCCAGTTTGTTGTTCCATCTGGTGAAAGTAGGTGGATGCTGCTCATATATTGGCCCGATTGTGAAGTAACTACTTTTGCTGTGGAGGCATCCTGCCTCTGGCAGCACATGACAGTAGAATTCGGACGACCTGGTTGTGGCATGTCTCACATTCAGCAGTGCGCGACTGTTTGTTGCTGATTCAGTGCTGCTGCTGCTGTTGGTGCTGCTGTCTGTTTCTGCTCTTCCTTACTCTGCTGTTAAAACGGCCACGGCGTGCAAATGGATGCACCGGTGGCTATTTTCCCGGCGCGCGCACTACAGGAACTCCAGAGCATGAACATCGTGCCCCGGCTTAAGCTTCAAGACTTCTAGCCTAGGAGCTGGGAGCCCGCCTACCTAGTCGTCATTCTTGCTCACAGACGGGATCGAGTCGCTGAATGGATGCACATATTGAGCTGGTTTTGCAGTGGAGGACACCCCACAAGAGTTGGGGGAAAGTTTCGAAACGGGGAAACACGCTTGTGCTCAGTTGAGCCTTAGAGTCCGCGGTGGCAAGGCCACGTTGGGTACTTGATCGGTGCTGGTTTTGCTGTTCTAAACGAATGGAATGAGCATGATGATATAGCGTGTTTTTTTTTTCTTCTTACAAATACGTAACAAGTTACGTTGCACGGGTTAATGAGTGGCCCAAGTAGGCGAACGGCCCAGTCTCTTCAGAACGGGGTTGACACTCGGCACTTGCTCGGCACCCCGCATCTATCTTGATCTGCGGGAAATCAAGTAAACATGACAGTCGACAAACATCCTTTCGCCGTCCGCCGTGCATGGTTGCCATTTTCGCCGCCCACTTGAGTGAAACCCGACACATTCAAAACATGCTAGTATACTACGTTCCCTTTCGATGAAAGTGTGGCATCAGATTTCTGTTGTGCCGGTCGTATAGGGGCACGACCCACGAACAGGGTATAATAGGTTTCCAAGTCTGTGCTGTCCAGCGGTTGTTGAGAGATGAAGTGCGGCGTTAGTCTAGTTTGCTTAGACGGGCTGCTACACCTCGCTGGGAACAAACAACATGCACTCCCATTCCATTCTCAGGACGCCATTTCGCTAACCTCGCCCTGCTGCCTGAGTGGACTTCGGTGGTGTTATGTAACAGAAAAACATTTTTTTGGTCGACCAAAAATGTGCCAACGACTTTTTCTGTTTTTGACACCTCCTCAGCGTGGTGTGTGTGTTTAGCTGTCAACGAAGAATACTTGGCGCCAGCCGGACATGGAACTGAAAGGCGAGTGTCTTCTGTGCCTCTCTTTAGAGAAAAGGAGAGAGGAGAAGAGGGGGGAAGGGTCATAGGCGGCGTAGGAGAGGCAAGGGAAGATATGAACGGGGGCATTTTTGTCGTGTCCCCGGGGTTTGTACGAGGATTCCTACTAGTTTCGCCGCATGTTTTCGTTCAAATCTGGGCGACAGCGGTGCTTGCCCACAACTCGAGCTGAACAGAGATAACCAGCAGCGAGACAAAACCTCGCCAGACTTGAGCCAGACAGCATCTTGACTGTCTCGACGAACGCAGAGATCTTATTATCCCGTGGTCGAACACCACAAGAGCGTTTTCAGCACCACATCTGCGAGATCATATTTTGAGTGTCCGGCTACGGGATACGAACACAAAATCGTCGACAATGGCACGCGTGTTCAGCATGCTAGGCGGTACCAGGAGCAGCAGCAGCAGGAAAGGAGGCAAGCGCGATCAGCGCACAGGCGAGGCCAAGAGGAAATATCTTGACCACTGTTGTGTCCACGGGCGTGCCTTCGTAGGTCAGCGCGTGTCGAGGGTGCGGTGAAGATGTACGAGGCGTCCTGGGTGATGCAACCTACAGTAATCTAGATATTTTCTCGAGTCGTTGCACAGAGCCAGCCTGATGGGGTCAGGTAACCCACGTAAACGATCACCATCGCGAGGTATCGACGCCCCCTAGCCGCCCCATGTCTGGTGAAGCGGCTGGTACAGACCACGCCGCCTTCATCCAGATGTGCGCGATACGCGAAATACGTGGTGTGAGACCTCAAGCCGCTGTCGACAGAACCCATCAAGCCGAAAGCACCAAAACCTCCGACCTCCGACGAGAGAGGGAGAGACGGCATGCACACCAAGGCTCCTGAGGGGTGTTCATGAGACGGGCGATAGCCGAGCTTCACCTGGTGGCCATCCAAAGTGTTCACCCTGAGTTTTCCATACAGGGTGGGGGGCTACGATTGAGTATAGCGATTGCTACGGAGGGCTGTCCGTTCGTCGAGCGCTTCCTTTTCGTGGGCGAGCACATAGAAAGCTTTTGCCCTGGATCAGCTTGTTGTAGACCAGTTTGTACTTTTGCATCAGCAAGCGTGAGCGCACCGCTCTCGGCTACACAAGACTCGCTTGCTCCTTTTTGTGACCCCGTTTCAGGACGAGTTCCTGCCGGTGTGTCTTCTCTCTTGCGTAGCCTGGAACCACGCTTGCGTGTATGCTTGCTTGTTCGGTCGTTTTTAGTGTCCGCACCCAGTTGCCTCCTCTTTCTTTTTTCATGACAACCCCAACACGGGCAACCTGTTCTTTTTTCGTGTAGGACGTCGGCTTTCGCCTAGAACAATATCCACAACAATCCGATGGCCCTGGTCCTCATGCTGAAATGATTGTCAATCGTGCAACCCGTGGAAACAGCGTAAGGCATGGTAGATTCGCCTGATGACGAGGAGGAAGGAACAAGGACGCACGGTGCCAATAGCTACTACAGTAGGGGGCCCTCTATAGTGCCGGTATGTGTTCAGAGAGCAAAGCGGCACTATACCGGGCACCGGCACTATTCAGAGTACGGAAAGACTTGATATTCCGGTGTGTGCGAGCCGAAAACACCGGCACTATACCGGCAACCGGCACTATTCAACCGGCACTATATCGGGCCACCCACTGTACTACGCCGATTGGAAAATATATGCTTGCTGCACCTATAATAGCAGGACAAAACCTGTTATTCCTGTAAGGCATATCNCCATGGCCAGTGGAGTGAAGCGGGCTACCCGAAACTCGGGTATTGCGGTAGACGTCAACCTGTGGGATCTGCGAGACCTCCCCAAGACTAGCACCGTCAAGAGTGGTGAGTGAGGTGGAGGCCTAAAACAGATTGATGCAGTCGAGGTGCGTGAAAATACATGGTTGCCTGGCGGCCCGGCAGCGGCAACGATGAACAACAGCCCGGACCCACCCTCCCCTCGCTCCACGACCCACGCAGCGCCCAAGCTGAAATTGAAGGACTACACCGTGAGGCTGCCACGCGCATCAAGGGACCAGGACATGAAGCTTCTCCGCCGGGCGGCAAGGGACAACGAGGGAGTCGGGGGATCGGACCCCGTCTACCCGTTGACCGGACCTGCGTGCATCACGAGGAAGGAAGCTGCCGCTGCGCTGCTAGCGCTGGGCGAAGAGCGCGACGACGAGATGGTGGCGGCGGCGAGGGCGGCAGCATCGGAGAGCGGCGACTGCGGTGCAGGCGCCGGGAGCACCATCGCAGACGGTGAAAGTACGAGCTACGGAATCAGCTGTGGTGCATTTAGGGGGTGACGGACGAGGGTACGGTGCGGTGGTACCAAATTGAGTGCACCCTTGGCTCTACTTGACTGTTGTAGAGGCATGAGAGGCGCTTCTGGTATTGGTACGGTGTGGTTTCGAGCGGACATACGTGGTGTCTCTCGTGCGGTTAGGGTATGGGCTTACCTCGAATCGCTCCCGAAGAGTCGCTCCCCCTTGCCTCTGGCTGGTTCAAGCACAGGACTCGCAACCTGTGACTGCACCTTCACTACCCCCTGCAGCTACATCTGATCGCCTTACTGCTCCATTTTTTCCCATGCACACGCTGTGTTGAGGTAGGTTACGTGGTCGACGACACCACCTCCCGCACCCGACTACTGTAGATAGCAAGAGCTTCTACTCGAGATAATCACGTCGTGACAAGCGCATCCCCATTCTCACCACCCCGACGTACCCCCTTTTTCTCCAGGTTCGATCCCCCTTGCCATGGGCATCAGCCAGCCACTTCTGGCGGAGGCCGAAGCCGACGCCCGCTTGGCCAGCCCTGGCGTAAGCCGTAACCTCACGACGGAAGACCAACGGAGTTCGCTGCCACACCCCGCGCAGCTCGACCTCGCCCAGGGCAAGCCGGACTCGAGCGACGATACCACCGGTGCCATGTCGGCTGCTGCGAAGATTGCCCCTGCTAGAGCCGGAGACGTGGCTGGGTTGGCGGCGGCGGCGGTGGCTAAGGTGCTCTCTCGTGGAGCGGCGGAGGGAAAACCGGTCTTGAAGAGAATCTTTGCGACGGTCGTGGCCTACGATATCGGCAACAGCATGGAAGTAGCCGGCGGCGGGGGCAAGGGGTGCGGCGGCAGCAGCAGCAGCAGCTGCGGCGGCTGCGGCGGCAGCGGCGGTGCGTTCGACGGCGTAGCAGGCGGAGGGATAGGAGGAGGACAAGGGCGGCGATTCCAGCCCGAACACGGCGTCGGGGGATCGACTTCGTCAAACAAGTACAAGCATGTGATCGGCGATGGCGACGTCGGCGGGGACTCTTCGATGGTTGACCGGCTGGGCAAGATCGCCTGTGTCTGGGGCAGCAGCACCGGACACCACGGGCAGGGAGGAGATGGCGGTGGGAAGGCGGGACCGGGGTGCTACGGGAACGGAGGAGGGGCTAGCGGCGACCGCGCCGAAAGCGACGGAGCACACACAAGTGGCAGTCGCGGCTATAGCGGCGGCTACAGCGGGGTCACTACATCCGATGACAACGACAGCAGCAGCGGCGGTGATGGAAACGGGTTCATCATGACCAGCAGCAGCAGCAGCAGCAGCAGCAGCAGCAGCAGCAGCAGAAGCGGCGGCCACGTAGGATACAGCGGCGCTTTTCACCACAAGCGGCGCCCAGACGAAGGCAAGGGTTGTGACGAGTTATCGAGCGCATCGTCGCCATCATCACCGTCTCGCGATAGCTGCCTCGGGAAGCAGAGGAGGGAGAACAGCAACGACGACGGGGGTGGTGGGGCTGACGTCATCAGCAAAAGGGTGAAGTCTGGGGGCCGTTACTGCTCCTACAGCGGCGGCAGCGGCAGCAGCGGAGCCACCATCTCGGACGGCAACGACAGCAGCAGCAGCAGCAGCAGCAGCAGCACCGGCGGCGGAGGGGGGATCATTTCCGTGAGCAGTACCAGCAGTAGCAGCAGCACCGGCGGCGGNAGGGGGCGGTGGGGCTGACGTCATCAGCAAAAGGGTGAAGACTGGGGGCCGTTACTGCTCCTACAGCGGCGGCAGCGGCAGCAGCGGAGCCACCATCTCGGACGGCAACGACAGCAGCAGCAGCAGCAGCAGCAGCAGCACCGGCGGCGGAGGGGGGATCATTTCCGTGAGCAGTACCAGCAGTAGCAGCAGCACCGGCGGCGGCATCGCCTGGGACAACGCCACGGACAACACCGGTGAATGCAACGTGTCACCGAGCGAGCTTTCACCGCTCTCTCCGTTTCACGACAGCAGCAGCTTCGGGAAGCGGAACAGGGGCCACGACGACGACGACAACGACGACATGGTCGATGGGAGTGGCTGTGTGGACGTCAACACAGCGTCCGGCGATGACGGCGTCAGCGAGCGTTGCGCTAAGCGCGCCCGGCAGGCGGCTGGTGGCGGAAAGTCCCTGCAACTCCGAGGGTTGCGTGACCGCAGCGGAAAGTAAAGCACCACACGAAGGAGATCCCGGGTGAGAAATCACTTCGTTGAAAGCGTTGTATGTTTGAGGAGGCAAGCACCGTAGAAAGCTGTTGCGGTTTGTGCTTCAAGAAAAGGGAACATTCAACCACGANACGTGGACGTCAACACGGCGTCCGGCGATGACGGCCCCAGCGAGCGTTGTGCTAAGCGCGCCCGGCAGGCGGCTGGTGGCGGAAAGTCCCTGCAACTCCGAGGGTCGCGTGACCGCAGCGGAAAGTAAAGCACCGCACGAAGGAGATTCCGGGTGAGCGTCACTTCGTCGGAAGCGTTGTGAACGAGTTAAAGTGTGATGTATATGCTCCCTTTTGTGGATGAAAATATCTTCGTGTTTCGCCCAAGCACAGACCCTATTTATTTGTAGACCCCGTGCGCAAGGGAACACCCTACAAAGCAGCGTCTGACCCACCGCAATCTTTCCACGTCCCTGTATCTCGCCCCCCCTTCTGTGACGCGACGCTATCTTCCCTCCCCCATCTCCCGTGCTTGCGACCCAGGAGCAGTGCAACCGACTGCTTCATGTATCTATGGCACGTTCCACAGCCGTATCTGGTAGATGAGACTCGATGGGTGCCATGCTGCTGTGGAAAGCACCGCGAAGCACTGAGCGTTGGAGCGTTGAGTGGTGGGTGTGGCGGGGCATTCAACTGTTGGTGGCAGTTTTATGTGTCTATTTACTTTGGCAAGTGTTTTGCGAAAAAAAGCAAGACAAACGCACGGCACGTTGTTGTGGATTGTTTGTACTGCTACACTCTTTTGGTTTACGGCGTGGCTCTCTGCACCAAGGCCTAGACGCAAGCATGCGTGCACCGGGCATTTTCAGCACATGCAAGCGGCATTGTAGGGGGGTGCCAAGCTCGTGTCCATGTGTGCCACGGACGGGATAGGCTACGATTATGTTCACACCGTTCAACACATGTTCTTAAATATGTGCCTGTCAGTCACCATTTACTTGCAATAGGGCAGCCTTACACGTAAAGCTCNCTAAGCGCGCCCGGCAGGCGGCTGGTGGCGGAAAGTCCCTGCAACTCCGAGGGTCGCGTGACCGCAGCGGAAAGTAAAGCACCGCACGAAGGAGATTCCGGGTGAGCGTCACTTCGTCGGAAGCGTTGTGAACGAGTTAAAGTGTGATGTATATGCTCCCTTTTGTGGATGAAAATATCTTCGTGTTTCGCCCAAGCACAGACCCTATTTATTTGTAGACCCCGTGCGCAAGGGAACACCCTACAAAGCAGCGTCTGACCCACCGCAATCTTTCCACGTCCCTGTATCTCGCCCCCCCTTCTGTGACGCGACGCTATCTTCCCTCCCCCATCTCCCGTGCTTGCGACCCAGGAGCAGTGCAACCGACTGCTTCATGTATCTATGGCACGTTCCACAGCCGTATCTGGTAGATGAGACTCGATGGGTGCCATGCTGCTGTGGAAAGCACCGCGAAGCACTGAGCGTTGGAGCGTTGAGTGGTGGGTGTGGCGGGGCATTCAACTGTTGGTGGCAGTTTTATGTGTCTATTTACTTTGGCAAGTGTTTTGCGAAAAAAAGCAAGACAAACGCACGGCACGTTGTTGTGGATTGTTTGTACTGCTACACTCTTTTGGTTTACGGCGTGGCTCTCTGCACCAAGGCCTAGACGCAAGCATGCGTGCACCGGGCATTTTCAGCACATGCAAGCGGCATTGTAGGGGGGTGCCAAGCTCGTGTCCATGTGTGCCACGGACGGGATAGGCTACGATTATGTTCACACCGTTCAACACATGTTCTTAAATATGTGCCTGTCAGTCACCATTTACTTGCAATAGGGCAGCCTTACACGTAAAGCTCAAAACCGCCCCTCGTCTGTAGCTAGCCTACCTATCATCCAGGGCATGGATGGATAAATCAGGAAAAACGGAGTGCTTGTACCTCTCATGACTTTCCACGGCGGCATCATTCTACCCTCGAGGTCTGGTATTGGATTCCGTGCGGCCCTCTCTGCCTTTGCTTGAAGTGGTGGCGCCTATCTATCTATTTATTTGGCAACGAACCACGACTGTTTTGGAGCTTTCCCGTGGGCAGACTAAAAATACGGTCTGTTTGTTTTTGTCGGTGTTCTGCGGTGTGCTGAAAGTATCTTCGTGGCTCGATTTGTTGTTTTGTTCGTGTGCGCTTTCAAGTGAGCCTTGCATAACCCATCCCATGGCTGACTCTATTATTTCGGAGCTTCCCTCTAACAACATAAAACATAGAAAGAGTCAAGGTGGCTGTGGCTCAGTTCGGGAATAAATCGTTTTTTTTTACGGCGGCATTCCTGCCGCGCTGTTTAATAATTTGAGTTCGTTGGAAACAGCACATTCTGTGATCTTGTTGAGTTTTAGTCTAGAGATGGATGCGAAGAGTGTTGCTGTTGTGAAGGGATCGTCGTCTGTGGTTTACAGATTGAAGTAGGCACTGCGTACAACTGTGTATGTATGCTTGCATGCTTCTCGAAACGGGTCGCCGTATGTTCCATTGAAGCTTTTGAGACATCTCATGTATGTGTCTACTACTTTGATTGTTTGGGGAGTGAAGGATTATTTGTCCCAACAGGGCCGCGCCGTGTGTCCGAGTGTTGTTGTAATTAGATCGAGGACCCGTGATGAGATGACGATCGTTTGAACCAAAATAATGTAGATAAATCTATGACGATAGCGCGGGATAACATTGAATGAATGTTACGTTTAATGTAAAAGCTTCTTTGTCGTAATCCATTCGCTCATTCATCACTCACGTGCCAGCGTAGGCGACCTTTCGCTGCAACGCGGTCTGTCTGTCTCTGTGTGATGTCTGTCGTGTTTGTACGTTCTACGTATAGTCTAGCTGCGAAGATGTACCGATTCAGGTAAAAGTCAATCGACGGATACCCTGCGAATCGCAATGATGTGCGTGTGGTCTTTCACTCGTTCCTTGGGTCGTCCGTGTTTTTATTCTTCTTTTGGTTGGAAAGAAGGGGGGTCTTTCCGTGCCGCCGGGATGATATCACCCAGTAGGACTTACTTGCTTGTTGTGCTGTCGCTCGTGTGCAAGAAGCGAGCTTAGCAAGTAATTTTGGTTCTCCTTACGTTCGGTGGTAGAGTTCTTCCCCTCGCTCCTCGACAAGCTTTTGCTTAGACATGGGTTGCAGCGAAGGGGGGGGTCTTTCTGGCGAGCAGGGCTAGACTCACCCTCAAGGGATGACCGAAACCTTCTTGCTGCTGCGCAT